TATGCTGCTGGTTGGTCCTATTACAGCGAGTACAGTATTAACTATTAGCTAATGAATTCGTGGGCGAGAGGCTATATAGTAAATTCGGCTATTGTAATATTATATTTATTTATTTGTTAATGTATATTTTTATGGTCGTTAAGTAATATAAACCTAGCGTATAGATATAGCTGTAGTATATAGTAGTATACTAGTATCAATTATTAGTAGTTATTTTACCTATCTATGTATAGAAGACACTATAGGCACACAACTCAGTACTCACTACCCAGTACCCACCGCATGCCTATTATAGAGTACAGACAATAGAAACTTTATATATTTACCTATATTTACGTAGTAATACGGCGTATTTACGGAGGGAGGTATGGGTAATAGATCCCCCCTTGACCTTTTAGATTCTGAGTGGAACGATGAATGTATTGATTTTACAATGATGTGTATTTTTATATTTTTTTTTAATTTTTAATTTTTTTTTAATTTTAGTGTCGTGTACACGATAGTAAGTCGAAATAATGCTTCGATTTTCAACTTCAGTATCTTCTTCGATTGGAAAGTGAATATTGTTGGTGAATTGGGGAGATAAAAATTTAAAATTCCAAGTCACCTTCAAGAGCTCTAAGAAAAACAAATGAAAAAATAAGGAAAAACGGGGATTTTTACGCAAAATCGATTTTTCACAAAATTGAATTTGGTTTTTGGTGTAACCTTAAAAAAATGACCGTATATACATGCAATTTTCCCTGGTTGTTAATATTTGTATTTTCAATACACGATAAAATTTTCAAATTATTTTGATTTATTTTGAACTGTTAAGGGACATTATCATTTTCCATTTTTTTTAGATTTTTTTCTGAAAATATCAGTAAAATTTTATTTGTTGGTTAAAAAAGCTTGAAAATTTAATAGAATTTAATAAGAATTTAATGTACAAAAATTGACAAAATATGGAAAAATCACGAAAATTAGCAAATTATTTTGAGTTAAGAATTCGTAAAAATTTTTCTTTTTAAATCTAAGATTTTAAAATGTAATACAAGTTTGTCTACCTTTATCAAAAAAAAAAATTTCTATAAGAAAGTCAAATTAAATTTTTATGAAGGTTTGAATTTCAAATTTTTAAAACCTTGGATATTCACTCGATTTCTCATATACCGATTTCCTTATTTTGTCGTAATTCGAAAACGAATAAATGTAGATACATGAAAATTTCTCTGAATGTTTATATTAGCATTTCCTACACACCATACAATTTTGACTCTTTTTGAGCTGTTTACAGAAATTTTCAGTTTTCAATTTTTTTAGTTTTTTTTTTCTATAAACATCAATAAAGTTTTATCTGTTGGGCCAAAAAGTGTAAAAATTTAATACAATGCTCCTGATATATTGTTACAATATCACTTGAAAAATATTTAAAATACATAGGCACAATTTTTTTTTCATAAGCATTTAAAGATCGAATTTTGACAAAATTTATCAAATTTAAATTTAAATAATTATTTTGTAGTTAAAAATTTATAAAATGTTCAACTTTTATATCTAAGGATTGAAAATTTAAAACAAGATTCCGCGTAAGTAGTTAATTCTGTTACCAAAAAATCTAAAAAATACATAAGCACAGTTTATTTTTTAGTCATTTTAAGTTCAACATTGGACAAAATTATGTATAAAAAAAAACCTAGAATAACTATTTTAGTTATTTTGTTGTGATCGTATACAGGGATGGATTGGGCCATAGGGAAATCGGGAAATTCTCTAAATAGTAAATAATAGGTAGACGTAAGTACGTACAATCTAATAATTAATAAATATTGCCATTGATTATAAATTAATCATTCAATGATATTATGTAATAACAGTCTATAATATTATAACGTAAAACGTTGTAAATTGTAATAATACAAGTATGCAACGTCTACAACAGAAACTGAATAATAATATTAATTATCAATAAGTAATAATAATAACTTAAATCAAAAAATCAACTTCCGTGGACAGTAAAATCTATAAATAATTGGTTATTTAGGTTGTCGTCGATCAGATGGTCCGACGGTTTTGCGGGTAATGACGACGAATTGTGACGATACAAGTCGATGGGGGTCGTTAATATGGCTGCATCCGAATTGAATGCCAAAAAAAAAAAATGTCCAAATTGCATGCCATCTTTTGGAGGGGTCTGTCCGAATTGCATGCCATCTCTTAGAGGGGTCTGGCCGAATTCCATGCCTTGAACCACATGTTTATTTATTAAGGACTTAAACTTTTTTTGGATTTTCCTTTAAAAAAAAAATGCATGTATAGAAACGCTATTTTATCTATGGTTGTTACAATTGATTAGTTTCTAGATTGAAATGTTTTTTTATCCGACTATCCGAGTAAATATTTTCCCAAACTGTATCTATATTGGTGTACATTGTTTCATAGACATAAACATATATATAGTATAGGTCACTTAAGTGTTTGTAGCTGTCAAACTTATAAGCTTTTTTAGCTTTTTTAGCTGTTTACGGACATTTTCATTTTTCAATTTTTTTAGTTTTTTTTTTCTATAAACATCAATTAAGTTTTATCTGTTGGGCCAAAAACTGTAAAAATTTAATACAAGACTCCTGATATATTGCTACAATATCAGTTCAAAAATATTAAAAATACATAGGCACAATTTTTTTTTATAAGCATTTAAAGTTGAAATTTTGACAAAATGTATCAAAATCTCGAAAATTACCATTCATTGTAATTAATAAATTATAAAATGTTCAGTTTTTATAGCTAAGGATTGCATATTTAAAACAAAGGTTCTCATATAAATAGGTCATACTGTAACCAAAAAATCTAAAAAATATATGAACACAGTTATTTTTACAGACATTTTAAATTCAAATTTGGACGAAATTACATATAAAAAAACCTAGAAGAACTATTTTAGTTATTTTGTTGTGATTGAATAATATTATTCGTGGGTACTTGAAACTTCTAAAGTGTACTATTATATATGATACATCTATGATAGTATCAGTAGTATCAAAGTTTTTGTTGATGTATAACGCGTTATAAGTACCTAATGGATATTGTGATATGATTAATTTGGAATATATTATAGGTACCTATTATAGCCTATAGGTTAATTTTTTTTAATACCATAGATAAGTATATAATATGTCTTATACCTAGACGGACGTCTCCGCTCAGAATCGTTTTTCTTATACAATGATATTATATCATTGAATTCAAATTTAATACCATCCATTATATACAGTTACCCAATTGTAATCTACTGTACAGCAGAGTGACATCCACTTGCCCACCTTTTTTGTTTTATTTTTTAATTTAATATAATTATTTTTCTAACTTTCCTTTGCCTTGATTTTTTGATTGTTGTCTGTTCGTAGGACAATACAAGTAAAACCCGATGAAGTCATTGATGCAATGGCACAGTCATCAAGAAAATTAAATCTAGTTTTGTAAATTTAGTATAGAATAAAGCTTATATACCTATTCATATTATGTACGAAAATATTTTATATCCCCCCCCCCCCATGAGAAAATCTTAGATCCGCCACTGATTGTTTCAAGGTGTAATAAATAATACGTGTTTCCTCAAATCTCGACCTTCCCAACTATTTCGAGTAAAACGATTCGTGGATAAGTCTGTATAATACATATTATATGCTATTACTCATTAGTATAGTCTATAGGTACTAGGCATGGACAATTATAAATGTCTAAATGGTATACGCCGTGATACCTATATCATGTTAGATGACAAATAATTAGATCGTTGCAATGATGAGTAATGAGTTGTTGTAGAAGGCTGAATGTTTGAAGATAAAGTAATGCACGTGATGTATTATGGTAGGTAAATGGTAACTAGTACCTATAGTCCGATAGTCGTATATTATACGCTATAAAGATTATTGTTATGAATTATAATGAATTTTATATTGAGGTCGACTGCTATACCATAGAAGCAACAATTGATAATAATAATTGCAGGCAGCAGCAGCAGCTGTTGCTGTATAATATATACTTATTATATATGTATATTACTATATTATACATCTGCATGTTCTGCATAATATTATTATGTATGTGACATTTTAAGTGCACGCAAAGGTCTGCAAAAGGTCTAAAAAATAAAAACTACTCGTAAATTACAAAATTTGTGTATAATTGCGTAAAGTTTTCGAAAAAATCGAAATCCCGCGTATACACATATATAGAAGATAATATACGTGTTGTACTTGTACACGTCGGTAACTCGGAACACTCAACGCACACACATTGCAGTCCGAGCATACGCCGTACAGACATACAGTATATTATACCGGCATACCGCTATACAGGCACCAGCTATACCACACCTATACACGCAAACATATTATTTTATTCCCGCCACCGAAGTCATTGTCAGAGTATTCAATAGTATACATAATAATAATAATAATAATAACACACCGAGCAGTGAGTTGTACCAACACACATTTTATTTGTGTTCAAACGAAAACGAGAATTGGACGGCAGCAGCCTGCAGTCGTGAGCAGCTGCAGCTGCAGCAGCTCTGCCTATGATGTTCGATGAGCTTATGGCAGTCCGTCGAGAGGGGGTGGGGGGTGGTGTTTCCATCTTCGTCCTCTGAATTCCGATTACAATACGAGATAAGCCGGTGTTTGGTAATACTGTAGTAATAGTAATAAAATATTGTAATAGGTAGGTACGACACTACAACACAACAACAACTTACTGTTGCAGTTGCACTGCAGTCTGCAGTGGTATTCGCTTCTCGTTTTGTTGGGCATGCACATTTGTTGCATACCGTTTTCATTGTGTACCGATTATATCATATTGTCACACGTCCGAACGGACGAGTTGACCGTCGCGTAATAACGCCGCCGCGAGTACCCAATCGACGACATTTCATTGACTTTCGTCATCGGTGCGTCTCTCGTCGTCCGTTCGTCCTCTAAGCGATTTTTCCGATTCGAGTTTTCACCTTTGCAACGATGACCGCCGCCATCCAACTGATTTTGGGTTCGTTGCTGCTCAACTCGGCCACAGCGATATTTCCGATCCTGCGCGAGTACTACGCGTCCGGCGATCAAACACAACGTAATTATCGGCATCGCCTGATTATATTTTATTATTTTAACGAGGGAGCATATTGTATTCTTCCTGCCTAGGTACCTATAGGTAGGTACTCTGGACTTGTCATTTTCATTTGGTTCCGTTTCATTGCAACAATGGTCTGCCGACTGTTAATGAACGCTCACACTACAGCTATTTAATAGACCGTAACTATTACAACTTTGAACCGTGTTTTATTTGTTACTATATAGGTTTTTTCACTGATTTCCAGTATAGATTCCCCAAAATATGTTGACCATCGGCAACTCGCATATTGTATATTATATCATAATAACATAACTATTAACTACCTACTGGGAAGGTCACTTGTTGGATATGTTTATTGTTTTGTGCATAAGAGTAGGTATTGGAAAAATTGTTAAATTAAAAAAGTTCTAAATGTATGACGTTTGTTGTTTTTATTAGGTAACAATAATTTAAAATTCTATTATTAATTATTCACAGGAAGTATTTTCATTTTTGTGTTATTTTGGCTTTTATTTTTACTTTTTCTTATTTATTTGAACTAGTGGGGCTAGAAATAATTTGTTAAAAAATGAATCATGTTAATAATGTTAAAATTTGTTTTTTAGTAGGTAGGTATAACCCAGTTAAATAAATTCAAGTAAAATATTCTATGAAACCATTGTGTTATTTAATAATTACTAGTCACTCTGATAAGAGTCTAATCAACAATAATAATTGTTAAATAGTGTACACAGTTGATTAAGGGTCAAACAGTTCAGTTCTTGGTTCATTTTTGTTAGATATTTTAATAATTATAATAAATAATATACCTATTATTGTTCAATTGATTATGGGCTTCCTAAAATGTCAGTGTCCTAGATTTGTATGTTGGTAGGTTAAATATAAATGATAGCACTGTCTTGTTTTTAATTAAATTATGGGGTAATTACTTGCAGAGCTTAAAATACCCAATGACAAAAATACTTTAAGACATAAAGACAATAACTATATGTATTTCATTTTTTACTGCAGTTATAAATTATTTTAATATTTTTATCTGATATACCTATACCTAAATGTTTTTATATCTGATTTAATTTCAAATAAATTATTTTAATTGTTAGAATTAGTTGATGTTAATTGTTAGATCAATGTGCATTTTCTGTACAAGTAGTTTATAATATATATTAATTTACACTTAATTGTAACATAAATTGAATAGATTATTAATAAATAAATAAATAGTCAATAGGTACCTAGGTATTTCATTTAAAATCATCCAAGAATTTCTCAATAAAACACTTGTTATTCAATTTTTGTTAATTTTTTTGTTTATTCCTTTGAATATTTTAGCCGGTGTACCAAAATGGAGTTCAAGTTATTCTGTAGAAGGTGACATATTTATTCCATTTGCTGAAGTCCATGAACCGTTCAGTGCTTGGTATGATTCCGACTCTAGCAACAGTCGCATTGACTATTATCATGGTAAACTTTTAATTTTTTTGTTATACAAAAATTAAAATTGATTTATATTTAAATGTTAAATTGATTAGGAATGGCAAAAACATATCAACTTTCCAATAGAGGCTCTTTTGGTTCATCTCTTAAAATTGTTCCTGTTACTACCGAAACAGAAACAAACACTTTAAAATGTTTAGAAGTGAATGGAACTGATGAATTTCAAATTTCACCTCAATCAACTCTTCCAGACTTAAGCGATTTTAAGGTTTGTGGCCTCAATAAGTTATATTTTGATATTAAAATTAATGTTTAAATGTATTTTTAATTTTTAGTTAGTCAGTGAAAGTTTAGAAAATGGTATTGTAGTCGAAAAATGGGTTTATGTCAAAAGAGTGGAAAAAACAGTTGGAAAATATATAATGTGGTTGTATAGAAAAGTAAGCTGAAATTAAATCTCAATGATGAAATATTTTATTGATAGTAATTTGAACAAATTGTAGTGTTTATTCTATAATATTATATGTTATAATGTACTCGGTACTTACTACTTATACAGTTATACATAATATTTATAATATATTAAAGTAATATTATTTGTTAGGATGATATTGCTTATCCAATGAGGTTTCAAATGAATGGATTTAATTCAGTATTTCTATCACATTTTGATGACTACATTATCGTTTACAAACATTTTACACCAGTAAAGCCTAATCCAAGTATTTTCAACGTTGAAGGTATATCAATAACGACCGGTTAATTATTTGCAATATCTGAATGATTTATTATTATATATTTGAAACCTTTGCTTTTAGAATTAAAATGTGAATCTTTCCCTGGACCTGGCGTAAACCATATTTATGATTTTAATCCTATGATGGAGTTCATAAATAACTACGGAGAATATATAGATTCCACATTTGAAGAATTTAAACGTAAACATAACAAAAAATACCCTAATAATACAATTGAACATTTTGACCGAAAAAATAATTTCCGTCAAAACTTAAGGTGACTTTTTTTTATACTAGTTATTTTTAATACCTCATAAATTACCCCAAAAAAAAAATTGAAGTATATAGTTATACAATACTATAGTTAGTAGTTACTGAATTTTAAATTAATAATTTATGTATTTTTATTAGATACATTCGTTCAAAAAATCGAGCTAATGTTGGCTATACACTCGCTGTTAACCATCTGGCTGACTATTCCAGCACAGAACTTAAATCAATGTTAGGTTATAGAAAATTAAGTGATGACGAATATAATGGTGGAAAACCTTTTCCTTACAATAAGACTGATTTTCAAAACTTACCATCAGAAATTGATTGGAGGATTGCTGGTGCTGTAACAGCTGTTAAAGGTAAAGTTTTCATTAGCAATACATTTTTTAAGCTACTATTTGTAATTTATATAATTTTTATCATTAGATCAATCAATTTGTGGTTCTTGTTGGAGTTTTGGTACTACTGGTACCATCGAAGGAGCATATTTCATGAAACACCGTGAACGTAAAAGTTTTTCTGAACAGGTATATATCATTACTTAAAATACATTTTTTTATTGCTAAATAAAATATAAACTACTAATCTACTAGGGTTGATAAATAATTATTATAGTGTTTAAGTGTTTGAAAAAAAACATGTTTATATTTTTTTGCATGTAAGAAATTCTATTAAATGTGGTGGTTTCTAGTTTAAATAAATAAATAACATGATACATGCAAGAAATAGAATAAAACCAAATACTGGAAAACTATTTATATGCATTTTTATAATTTAATATGATACAAATTGTATTGTTTTGGTTGTATTTTTATGAATATATTATGCAATAGTACAATTTTGATTTTTCAATAGTTGGGAAGAATATTAGGTGATAATGTGTAAAAAAAAAGTAAAAACTCATTAAGAAATAATGTTAATTTTTAATTTAAGTTTTAATGTTACTTGTAAAAGTAACATTATATTTTCATTAATGGTAAACAGTATTTTTTTTTCGAAGACAAATTTTTTTATTAATTAATTCCAATTGTAAATGTTACATTTAATTACATAATATATTTTTTATGCTTTATTTTTATAGGCTTTGGTAGACTGCAGTTGGGGTTTTGGCAATAATGGATGTGATGGCGGAGAAGATTTCCGTGCTTATTCTTGGATTGAGAAGCATGGCTTACCAACTGAAGAAGAGTACGGTCCATACCTTTCTCAGGTATAGAATATTTATTTTTGAATCATTCATTCAATTTTATGTAAAAATGTTTGGATATTTATTAGTTTCACAAGAAATACATTTATTAATTTTCATATTATTGTTAAGGGGATTCGATACCGTGATTTTCTGTTTTTGTCTAACACACGCGCAAAATAGTATTTTAGACGTGTTTTTTGCCAAACATACCAATTGATCCAATGAAGCGATAAGAATTCTAAAAACAGATTTGAATTTGCCGTCAAGTCTACTTGAAATCGAATTTCCCACATTTTTGATATTACCCCCCAAATTTTTTAAAATTTCATATTCAAAGAGTATTTAAAAATTCTGTTATTTCAATTTTTGGAGAAGTTAAAATCAAAAATGTGGGAAAGTCGATTTCAAGTAGACTTGACGAAAAGTTCAAATCTGTTTTCAGAAATCTTATCGCTTCAATAGATCAATTGGAATGTTTGGCAAAATACACGTCTAAAATACTATATCACGCGTGTGTTAGACAAAAACAGAAAATCACGGTATCGAATCCCCTTAAGTCCCTTGACTTGGTTTCTTATTGTTGCACTGAACTAAATATTAATTTTCTTTACATTTACGTGTATTGTTTTTTTTTATCAAATTTATCTGTAACAAAATATGATTAAAATAAGTATGCAATTCATATATTCTTATTTAAAACTGAATATTTATTAAAAAATCATAATAACCTTTAAATTTACTTACAACTTCCTCATGATTTTATATTAGACAATCATATTTTATTAATTCATTATCATATATCTAAATTTTTTTTTTATTCTAGGATGGTTTCTGTCATATAGCTAACATATCAAATGGGGATCTTACAAAAATTACTAGTTTTGTGAATGTAACGACTTATGATGAAGAAGCATTAAAAATTGCTTTAGTCAATGAAGGTCCTATTTCTATTGCCATTTATGCTTCACTAAAAACATTTTCCTTCTACTCAAATGGTGTTTACTACGATAAAGATTGCCGTAAGTATTTCTTATTAAACTGAAATACACTTATCACACTGTATGTTTGTTTTTACTTGTAGGTAATAGTCCATTGGAGTTGAATCATGCTGTGTTATTGGTGGGCTATGGTACATTAGATGGCCATCCATACTGGCTGGTGAAAAACTCATGGTCAACTCACTGGGGTAATGCTGGTTACATCCTTATATCTCGTAAGGATAACAATTGCGGTGTTCTCAGTAGTCCAACATATGTTATTTTGTAGACTTATGTTTAAGATTTCAACATTTTATATTGTCATTTTTTGATTTAATAATAATTTAAAATTTTTAAGTCTGAGTGTAAAATATATTGATTTTACTTTTACAACTTTTTTTGGTATTAATTAATTTTTTTATCATTAATAGAAATTAAAATATTGTACTTTTTGATCTATTTCTAAATAAACGACTGTTAGTTTTATACAGCATATATTTTAATGAGAATAACTTTGACAAATTCAATTATCAACTTACTAATTATACCTATTACCTTGTCAGTGTTGGGTAAATTACTTTTGAACAGTAATAAAATTACTTGTACAGTTAAATATTTTTACGAGACATAATTTTATCCCATTGCATTAATTTTTCATTCAAAAAGTAGTGAGTTATAAATAATGTACTTTTTTTTTTAAATGAATTACAAATTAGTCCATAACAACTAATAAGTATTAGGTATACTTTTATAAAAATTATATAGGAGTGTAGGCATAACATGATGATTTAGATACATTGATAATAACTTAATGTTATACATGAACAGAATGTATAAGTATTAATTCCTGGACTCTGATAATATTGTTGGTTACCAGAATAGTAAATAAATTAAATTGATTTTTCTTGAATAACGGTATAGCCTCTAGATAGAACCCTCATACCATCATACATACTACATTCATAACTTTTATAACAAGGAAAATAACACATAATTCCATAAAATCACTTTTAAAAAGTAATTCAGTTACAATTGCGTTAATTGAAATAAAATTTTATGAAAATACTACGGCTTTACTGCAAAAGTTTAGTTATAGTAATTTTTAACTTGCGTTATGTTACTACCTAACACTACCTAGTAAATAAAAAGGTATACAAATTACATTAATTTACTGTTATAGTTGTAAATAAAATTATTATTATTATGAAAAAACAATTACATTTACATCTAACAAGTGAATTTAATATAATTATTTTTGCCAATTAACATGTTAAATACCGATATCAACTCTGTGTTGACATGAGTAAACAGGCATCCATGGCCAGTGTTGACACATTGTTGACATACAGTAACCTGTTTTGTAGCAGAACACATTTAAAATTTGTATCGGTCGTTCATTACCATACAACTATTATAGCTCGTCCAGTTCATCTTGGCCTTCGGCAACCATTACAATTATAGAAAATCAGGAGTCCAATAACTATATCATATTTAAAAAGGGTATTGTACATTGTATAATATTATCATGTAAAATTACTATCTGTAATGTTGCTCTAATTCACTCTAATATTTAAGCTAACAACTCAAAATTGAAACTGCTGGAAGTACATTTTGATACATTATGCTTTAAGATGGAGATAACATATTATTAATATGAGTGTACGCCAGTGGCCGATATGGGGGGGGGGTAATTGATTACCTCTGTGGATTTGAAATTTACCCCCCCCCCTCCCGCCAGAACAAGGATATATCCGCCACTGGTGTACGCCGTATTAAGGGACAATTTATGGGGGAGCAGACATAAATATGACGCCCCTAATTCAGTATACTCCTTTTTTTACAAATAATTAACCAACGGTGTACTACCTACGTCCACTTAAGGTCCAAGCATTGTATGTTTTAAGGAGTAATAATTAGGCAATTTATATGACACTCATATTTTTGGACTTTGTGTTAGTGTATTAATTGTGTGAGTAGTAAATTAAGTATGAATCGGTTATCCGTTATCGGTTCTAACTCTCACACTTTTTCACGAATGAAGTTTACACTTAACACCATATGTTTACTTGATCATTTTCTATACTTGATAAATTTTTTAAAATATTTTGATTCATTTTGAGCTGTATACAAACAGACATTATCAAATTTAATTTTTTTAGTTTTAGATTCTGAGTGGAGTAATGAATGTATTGATTTTACAATGATGTGTGTGTTTTTTTTTGTGTCCGTCAAAAGGTATACTACAATATTAATAATACTGATATATTTTTGCGTTACCTACCTAAAGATTTGTGACCCAATTAGTGAATTAAAATGAAAAAAATGTTGTATATTTACAAAAGCTTAACGAAGTAGGTAGATAAAATGTGGCACAACTACCGGCTGCCAATATTTTCTACAATAAACACTGATAAAAGTGAAACATTAAAATTCGTTAATAGTTTTAAATTTGAAGTACTGATATTATGTATGTTATACCATTTTTTTTTAAAAATTAATTTGTCATTAAATATTATGAGATAGGTAACGATTTATGACGTATATGATATTATGTTTTAATTTCAATGTAGTTACCAGCTTTTAACTATACATACCTGACTACAATTTTACATAGGTAATTTTGTTTTGCCATATCACTCTATTCACTTTAGGAACTAGGAACGTATAAAAATGAACTGTAAGTGAAAAGGTAACAGAGTAATACGACGCAATTCATTCACAATGACGTTCGTTTATTACCTGATTTGGTTCGCAATTCGTGTGCCTCCCTTTTTGTATTTAAAATCTGATGTGCCCAAAATAAATGCAAATGTAATTCAATTATTGCACGGAATTTTAAGGTTGTTTAAAATTTAAAATTGATAATCGACCTCCAAAATAGCTTAATATATTATATTTTGTCGAAGAATTCATTCATACAATAAAAAGGTAGGTAAGTGGATGTCGCTCTGCTGTACAGTAGGTTACAAGTGGGTAACTGTATAATGGATGCTATTAAATTTGAATTCAATGATACAATATCATTGTATAAGAAAAACGATTCTGAGCGGAGACGGTATGTCAGTCTAGGTTTAAGACAAATTATATACATATCTATGGTATAAAAAAAAAATTGACCTATAATAAATTCCAAATTAATCATATCACATTATCACAATATCCATTAGGTACTTATAACACGTTATACATCAACATCAATAACGAACCATGATACTATCATAGATATATAATAGTACACTTTAGAAGTTTCAAGTAGGTACCCACGAATAATATTATATAATCACAACAAAATAACTAGGTTTTTTAATATGTAATTTCGCCCAAGTTTAAACATAAAATGACTATAAAAATAAACTGTGATTGTACATTTTTTAGATTTTTTGGTTACAGTATGAACTATTTATGAGAACCTTTGTTTTAAATTTGCAATAATTAGCTATAAAAACTGAACATTTTATAATTTATTAATTACGATGATTAATAATTATCGAGATTTTGAAAAATTCTGTCAAAATTCGATGTTTAAACTTTAAATGCTTATAAAAAAAAATTCCAACGATTTTTAATTCCAACGATTGATAATTTTCGAGATTTTGATAAATTTTGTCAAAATTCCAACTTTAAATGCTTATAAAAAAAAATCGTGCCTATGTATTTTTAATATTTTTCAACTGATATTGTAACAATATATCAGGAGCCTTGAATTAAATTTTTACACTTTTTGGCCCAACAGATAAAAGTTTATTGATATTCATAGAAAAAAAAACTAAAAAAATTGAAAAATGAAAATATCCGTAAACAGCTCAAAAAGAGTTAAAATATTTTCAAAATTGTATGGTGTATAGGAAATGCTAATATAAACATTCAGTTAAATTTTCATGTATCTTTGTATCTATAGTTATTCGTTTAGGAATAACAACAAAATAAGGAAATCGCTACATGAGAAATCGAGTGAACATCCAATGTTGTAAAAATTTGAATTTCAAACGCTCATAAAAATTTAATTAGACTGTCCGGTAGAGATTTTTTTGTTGATAAAGTTAGACAAACTTATGAGTAATCTTGTATTAGATTTTCAAATTTTAGATTTAAAAAGAAAAAATTTTACGAATTCTTAACTCAAAATAATTTGCTAATTTTCGTGATTTTTCCATATTTTGTCAATTTTTGAACTTTAAATACTTATAAAAAAAAAACTGTGACTAACGGTTTTTAATATTTTTCATCTGCCTTTGAAACAATATACTAGGAGCCTTCTATTAAATTTTCAAGTTTTTCTAACCAACAAATAAAATTTTATTGATATTTCTAGAAAAAAAACTAAAAAAAAATGAAAAATGAAAATGTCCCTAAACAGTTCAAAATAAATCAAAATATTTTGAAAATGTTATCGTGTATAGAAAATGCAAATATAAACAACCAGTGAAATTTTCATGTATCTACGGTAATTTGTTTTAAAGTTACACCAAAAACCAAATTCAATTTTCTGAAAAATTGATTTTGGGTAAAAATTCCCGTCTTTCCTTAATTTTTCTTTTGTTTTTCTTGGCGCTTTTGAAAAGTACTGGGAATTTTAAAATTTGACATCCCCAATGCACCAACGATATTCACTTTCCAATTGAACAAGATACTGAAGTCGAAAATCGAAGCATTATTTCGACTACTTATCGTGTACACAGACACAAAAATAAAATAAAATACATTCATCGTTTCACTCAGAATCTAAAATAAAAAAAGGTGGGCAAGTGGGTGTCGCTCTGCTGTACAGTAGGTTACAAGTGGGTCATTGTATAATGGATGGTATTAAATTTGAATTCAATGATATAATATCATTGTATAAGAAAAACGATTCTGAGCGGAGACGGTATGTCCTTCTAGGTAAAAGACATATTATATACATATCTATGGTATTAAAAAAAATTGACCTATAATGAATTCCAAATTAATCATATCACAATATCCATTAGGTACTTATAACGCGTTATACACCAACAACAAACCCTGATACTATCATAGATATATATAGTAGATTACTTTAGAAATTTCAAGTACCCACGAATAATATTATACAATCACAACAAAATAACTAAAATCGTAATTCTTGGTTTAGGTAAATATGAAGTTTTGTCTAAATTTGAAATTAAAATGTCTGCAAAAAATAAGTGTGTTTATATATTTTTTAGATTTTTGGTTACAGTATGAATTATTTAAGAGAATCTTTGTTTTAAATTTTCAACTCTTAGTTATAAAAACTGAACATTTTATAATTTTTTAATTCCAACGATTGATAATTTTCGAGATTTTGATAAATTTTGTCAAAATTCCAACTTTAAATGCTTATAAAAAAAAATCGTGCCTATGTATTTTTAATATTTTTCAACTGATATTGTAACAATATATCAGGAGCCTTGTATTAAATTTTTACACTTTTTGACCCAACAGATAAAACTTTATTGATATTTATAGAAAAAAAAACTAAAAAAAATTGAAAGCTGTAAATGTCCATAAACAGCTCAAAAAGAGTCAAAATATTTTCAAAATTGTATGGTGTATAGGAAATGCTAATATAAACATTCAGTGAAATTTTCATGTATCTACAGTTATTCGTTTTTGAATTACAACAAAATAAGGAAATCGCTACATGAGAAATCGAGTAAAAATCCAATGTTGTAAAAATTTGAATTTCAAACGCTCATAAAAATTTAATTTAACTGTCCGGTAGAGATTTTTTTATTGATAAAGGTAGATAATCTTATAAGGAATCTTGTGTTTCATTTTCAAATCTTAGATTTAAAAAGAAAAATTTTTACGAATTCTTAACTCAAAATAATTTGCTAATTTTCGTGATTTTTCCATATTTTGTCAATTTTTGAACTTTAAATGCTTATAAAAAAAAATTGTGACTAAGGATTTTTAATATTTTTCATCTGCCTTTGAAACAACATATTAGGAGCCTTCTATTAAATTTTCAAGCTTTCGCAACCAACAAATAAAATTTTATTGATATTTTTAGAAAAAAAAACTAAAAAAAAATGGAAAATGAAAATGTCCCTAAACAGTTCAAAATAAATCAAAATATTTTGAAAATGTTATCGTGTATAGAAAATGCAAATATTAACAACCAGTGAAAATTTCATGTATATACGTTCATTTGTTTTAGAGTTACACCAATAACCAAAATCGATTTTTTGGAAAACCAATTTTGCGTAAAAATTCCCGTTTTTCCTTAATTTTTATGTTGTTTTTCCCGGCGCTTGTGAAAACTACTGGAAAATGTTTACTTTTGACCCCCCAAAGTACCAACTAGATTCACTTTCCTATCAGAAAAGGTACTATTGAAGAAAATCGAAGCACTTTTACTGTCCCAAAACGTGATGACAGACACAAAAATATAAAAATATAAAAATATAAAAATATAAATAAAAATATAAAAACATACATCATTGTAAAACCAATACATTAATCGCTCCGCTCAGAATCTAAAAAAACACACACATCATTATGTAAAATCAATACATTCATCGTTCCACTCAGAATCTAAAATAAAAATCGGACACTGCGAAGTGTACCTATATTGTGTAATTTACCACCGCTTATTGTTATAGAACGTATGACAAATACGCTGTGTACCGTGATTACCTTAATATTATAGGTAGGCAAATAATTTTTTTTTTGTTAATTAATTACATTTATAATAGGATATAAGCAGAACGACATCTCTGAATACGTTTCTGATCTATATGTCATATGGCTGTACACAATAATTCAATATAAGTATAATATACTTTATGATAGTAGCTCACAGTACTTGACGGCTGACACTGAATTACTGACAAATATATTATAGTTCTATAGAGTTCAGTCGTATATAGATTAGGTAGTAATATGTCGCAACGACAATGAATTATGAAATCGTTCCATTTCCACCATCTATAGCCAATAGTATAACCGGATATTTAACTGATATAGTATTGTTTGAAATTTGTTTACCTACCTATCTATAGTTTAGGCCGAAATGCCGCCGCCGATGAAAATAATAATAATAACTTTGTGGCGTGATCTTCGCCTAACCTTCCCCCCTCCATCGCACCAGCCTTTGTGTTTGAGCGTCTGACTGATGGCATTCAAGTCCTTGTATTAGTCGTATTGCTTTTGTTAGCCGCCGCCGTGCACGGTATACGGATAACAACGCTCGCAGCGTTTATATAAAATAAGGATTCTAGTACGTAAACCTAATATGTAGACTCATATATAATTAATATATAATATTTTATCTATCCATGGTTAATTATATATATAATTATCGAACAATTATACATCGATAAAGAGACATCGCCCTCACTCGCTTTTACATGTCGATTGTCGAATTATTGTAAAAATTAATTGAACAACAGGTAGGTACGAATATTTTTTTAAAAAGATTTTTTTGTAATTTGTACTTCATAAATCAATAATGATAATTTCGTTTTCATTAGAATATATTATTATTCCGAACAAAATGTTTAACTGTCGATAGTCATTCAAATATTATAGTTTCGATATTATAGTTTCGGTGGAAGGACGATTAATCAACCAGATAACAGTGATATATCTTAGTTCGTGATTGTACCTGTACGTCGTGAATACTCGTGATATTATTATTCATTTCAGTATTTCACATAGTCGAGCGTTTCGATAATAATTATTGTCGTCGTTACGTTATTAAAATAGGTACCTATTAATATTTATCACACGGCTCCAATTAACCTTCCTCATCGTCGTGTTGAACAATTCGCGGGCAGTGATGTAGGATTAATATTTAATCGGATCTATGGATCTGTGTCGCATGCGCGCGTGATAAGAAAATAACTATTTGTTTATTGTATTTGATGATAGTGATATACAACAACAACAACAGCAGCTAGCTGCAGTCAGCACCACCACCAACGAAATCCTTGATCGCCGTCGTCGTTACTCGTTTGTGTCGCGTGTAACCAGTGACTGCCATGCGTGTATGCGACGGCTAAAGTCGTGAACGGCGGGCCAAGGTGCGTCCGAACGATCCCGCCGGGCACCGAAGACGCTAACCACAACAATGTGGGCCATCAGCGGCTTAGCCTTCTTCGTGTGGCTGTTGACCGCGACATCCACTTCCGCCAGATATCCGGTCATCTTGGGTGAGTCTTGGCCTGTGTGCCGCCGTTGACCGAGCCGGTGGCTCTGTGTTTCCACCTGTCCTATGGCTGTGTGTACTGCTTTGACTACGGTCTCAGCACTCGGTATTCCTCATAACGTCTCTTGATGTTTTGTGTCCTCACCGGGCTGCGCCAATAATTATTCTTCTTAATTTGCAATTTATGTAATATGTTTTTTAAGACACCAAATAAAAACTGTTTTATGGCTTTTCAAATGTCATCACTGAAGTAGGTATATTGTGATTTATCATTATGACTTGAAGGTCATTCTCTTTACTAGTTAAAACTTTTTAGCTGTTGATCATTAAATTATTTATCATTATTCAACTCTTGGTCTAATCATATTATTTTATCCACTTAAAAAACAATGCCGATAGTTAAATTAATTACCTATGCAATTGATCGGTAAATAAGCTAACCATTGTAATTGTATGGTATTAAAAATATAATAGACAACATTTATTGTTGGAAAGGTATATCATAATTTGAAACATTATTAACCAAACATAATAAAGTTAAAATATGCAACAATAAAATAATTAATACTTAAGTATTAGCTTTAAAAATAATTTGAATTTGATTAGACAAATCATTATTTAGAATCATGCCTAATATCAAGGTTAAGTACTTTATTTATATCACTTTTCAGATAAATAGTATAATATGATTAGGTAATGTATTTAACATTAATTCCTTATTATCTACATGATATGAATTAATTTTTATTTGTGTTGCTTAGACTAGTGTCTATATAGTTTATATTACAATTTATTCTAAAAGTTATTAAAAGATTTTTTTTAAATAATTTTTTAATTCAAACCACACATCTTTACTAGCAGTGGCGGCGCCAGAACTTTAATACCAGGTGGGCGAGGCTGGGGCCCAAATTTTTTAGGGAGGGCCAAATTGTTGACTTGATATATATATATATAAACAATAGTGATGACAGGCAATTGCGCAGAGGGGTAAGGAGGAGGGTCAACTTCCAATTTTTTTTACACTTCATCGTGTAAACTTACTAAAACAATGATTTGTAAACATGTATTGTATTAATAGTATTTATTTCCTAACAAAATATATATTCATGTAAACACTTTTTAATTTGTATACTCCCTAACCCATAATTACACTCAATACCAACGAATATTTAATAATAATTTATTATTTTCGTATTCAGCCTCTGGAAAATACACGTTATTTATGAGGCTTGAAAGCATATATAGAGCATAGTTGTCAATCCATTCAAAATGTTGTTCACACCATCTATTATGACTTAATATTTTCATATTTTAATAAATCATGATTTTTAAGGTGGGCCCGGGCCCACCCTGGCCCACCCCTGGCGCCGCCACTGTTTACTAGTGAGTTGATGCATTTTGAATATTACATAATTAATAAATCATAGTTTAAGGAATAAGAGGAATAAGCTTAACACAATCAGTGTTTTTGTTCTTAATACATTGTTGTTTATTTTATAATTACCTTTACATTTTTTAAGATAAAAATTTGATGATTTTAATATTTTCAATTGACTTAAGTTACCTACTCCTGTAATATTATTGAATATCTACCTATCTAAACATATTCATTTATAGCATTTTTTCAACCGTCATAAAAATTATTGTTTAGACTAGAGTAACCTGAACTATTTATATACCTTTATCATATATCTATGTATGTCTCCAGTGCGTACCTATATATAGTAATTAAATATAAATTAATAATTAAAAACTTCTAATAAAATAAATAGGAATTAAATTACTCTCTTAAGGTCATATTTTTGAATGGTGTATCAATACATATTTTAAACACCTATACATTAACCCTTTGACAAGTATTGACATATATTTACGTAATTTAGTAAGTATTTCCTATAGAGTAATGACGTATATTTACGTCCAGGTGTAGGGTTATGGTTATGATGTTTATCTAATTTTAGTGATTTTAATTATTTTTGTACAGATTTCGAACACATAATGAAATATATGCTGCCATGTGTCATTTAACTTTTCCTCAAACTTTTCTAAAAACTTTAACTAGATTAGAACATAAATGTATAATATATTTATTTCAATTATTATTTTCCATATGTAAAAGAAGTTGCCTATACTGTCATATTAAATCACTTGTCAAAGGGTTAAACAACCATAACCAATGATCAAATATCTTTCAGCTATACATACAAAATAATAAACAAATTATTTAAAAAGTATATTTGATGCTAAATAGCGTTGACCAAATCACTGAGCTACTCTAAGGAGAACTATTATTGGTGTATTAATGCAGTTAAGAAGTTTAATTTAAAAAAAAATTTATTATTGGTTTATTTTTAGTTCCTGGTGACGGCGGTAGCCGCATTGATGTTAAATTGAACAAACCCACTGTCGTTCATTATTTATGTGATAAAAAAACAAATGATTATTCTAACATTTGGTTGAATCTCGAATTGTTAGTACCATATGCAATAGACTGTTTGGTAAGTAAAGTAATTTATTTGTTTATATTAAGTTAATAACTCATAAATTGGTTTAATAATTAGATAGATAATATGAGACTGATATATGACAATGTTACCCATACTACTCACAGTCCTCCAGGTGTAGATATAAGAGTACCTGGATGGGGAAATTCTTCTGCTGTTGAATACATTGATCCTAGTTTATCATCATATGGCGCTTACTTTAAGAGTGTTGGTGATACATTAGTAGGCACTGGTCTTGAGCGAGATGTTTCAATTCGGGGAGCGCCATATGATTTTAGAAAAGCTCCTAGTAAGAATTAAAAATGAAAAAAATGTTCCTACCATACTAATATAATTTTTATTATTATAGATGAAAACGCAGAGTTTTTTGTGAAACTAAAGACACTAACTGAAGAGACATACCAACAAAATAATAATACACCAGTTGTGTTCATTGTACACAGCATGGGAGGATGTATGACATTGAAATTTTTGCGAGCTCAAACACAGGGGTGGAAAGATCAATATGTCAGAGCCTTGGTTTCATTAGCTGGTGCTTGGGGTGGAGCTGTTAAAGCATTGAAAGTTTTTACTGTAGGTACGCTGAAAAAAATAAATAGAAAACAGGAAAATAGTATATTACCAATTCATCTCCGTGGAAAATAAATATATTTAAATGCAGTTTTTTTACTTGATTGGATAGCATAATATTCGATTTTTTTTCTTCAAAAATTAAAAAATTACCAAAAAATAAGTTTTTTAAATTTCCAAGTAGCCATTTTGTTGATCGTATTTTTTTAAAAAGTTAAAAAAAAAAATATTAAAATTTAATGAAAATCGCCTAAGCTAGAGCTAATTATTATTTTGAATTTCTAAGAATAATAGTTTTGTTACCTATGCATACGGCATTAGAAAAATACGATTCGCATGCTTAGGTTCACTTCATGATAATTAAAATACTTAAAAATAGGTAACCAGTTTCACTATTCACTATTCAGTAAACTACAGTGGTCGGGACGCTACTGTTTTTTTTGTAGCACGCTAACGCTACTGCTACTCCCCCAAAAAAGTAGCTCGCTATCGCTAAAGCTACTTTTTTTAAATGTAGTGCGCTATTTCTAACGCTATTGTTTAAATGTAGCGTGCTACTTTTTCGCTACATTTTTTAAAATTTTTTTTTTTTATTTAGATATTCACTTGAGTACTTGGTTTGTTGCCTACCACTATTTTCTTGTAATTTCGGAAGGCAGGTTTATTAAGTGTAACTCATGTATTTTTGTAACAAAAATCAAAACAAATGAACGTTTTATTGAAAATTGCCAATAATTAGTAGTTTGTACTGATTAGACATTCGGTCACTGGGAGAAAGGACTTCACACAGCAAGGGGATTAATGATTACTGATTACAAAGAATTTTGATTTGCTAAACATTTTTTTAAAAAGTGTTGTCATTGCCTTTTGTGTACTTATAAAACTTATTGAAAGCAGGCCACGGTAATTCGATACATTGAGTTATGTCATCATTATCCTCATATGACGTGGTGGGTTCAGGTTCTGTCATTTTTAATTCAACTATTCAAAATATTTAAAACTTAAAAGTAGAAAACGCTGAATGCCGAAAACAAAAATAGTGATAATAAGATACTAATATATTAATTATTATTTATGGTTCTGTTTTTAATAATATAAAATATTACATTGTAATAATGCACTTATGATTATAGTCTTATCTATCCGGTCTTATCTTAGTCCGGTCCGGGTTCAACCCAAAAAAATCAAAAATACACTCATGTTGTCATCTTAATTAAATAAATAAATATACATCATAATATTTTTATTATCATGAAATAGGTTAGAAGTAGCGATAAAATAATGAACATTTTCGCTACGCTAACCGTAAATTTCTAGCGCGCTATAGTATTTCTCTACATGTATATACTGTAGCGACGCTATGTTAATCGCTACACCTAAAGTAGCGTCGCTACAATTAGCGCGCTACTCCTGACCACTGGTAAACTATAAGACACAGCGATTGTTATTTTATTATTTCTATTAAAATCAAAACTTTAATTATGTATTTATTAGTTTTGTTAGATTTAAATAAATATTTTATTATTAAAATGAAAAAAAACAATTATTTTTTTTGGAATTATTATGAATTTTCACATACAAAATATCAGTTAATAAAAATTTAAGTTTTTAATCCTATAACCGAAAGCTTTCACTAATAATTAGATAAGATTTTCATAAAAAATATCAGCGTTCCAATTTCTGATTGGCTTTCAGCATGCAAATCGTATTTTGCTATATTTGCTATATTTGCTGTATGGAACAAAACTTATTTTTAGAAATTCAAAATAATAATTAGCTCTAACTTGAGCAATTAATATTTCTTTTTTTTTGAACTGTTTTAAAAAATACGATTACAAAATGGCTCTTGGAAATTTAAAAAACTTATTTGGCAATTTGCCTGAAAACAATTATTGAATTTTTGAATAAAAAATCGAATATTATGCTATTCAATCAGAATTTCGATACTTATTACTGTAAAAAAACTGCATTTAAACATATTGATTTTCCACAGAGATACTAAGGGTGATACGGGACTTCTGGGACATATTGTATAGTAAATATATATTTATTTATTTACAGGTGATGACCTAGGAGTTTATGTACTTAGTGGTTATGTTCTAAAAGCTGAACAAATTACATCTCCCAGCTTAGCATGGCTTTTACCATCCCCATATTTTTGGAAGTCAGATGAAGTATTAGTAGAAACTGATACAAAAAACTTTACAGTGGCAGACTATAAATCATTTTTTGAGTAATTTTACGCAGCATTAAAATTAATTTTCTTAATTATTTGAAAATATTTGTAATCATTACAGAGGCATAGACTACATGACTGGCTATGATATGTACTTAGACGTTAAGCAGTACATGGATTTTGGACCACCTGGTGTAGAAGTCCATTGTTTACACGGTGGTGGAATTAAAACAGTTGACAAGTTTGTTTGAGTTGTTATTGTCAACACTTATGTATTTTTTAAACATTTATTCATCATATTTTAGAATGATATTTGGACCAGGAAAATTTCCTCTTAAGTATCCTAAGTTACAATATGGTTATGGCGATGGCACAGTTAATTCCAGAAGCCTTGAAGGTTGCAATTATTGGTCAAGTATGCAAAAGCAAAAAGTGTTCCATCAAGTATTTCCAAATGCTGACCACATGACAATCTTGAAGGATGAACGAGTAATGGATTACATTGCACAGCTCATGGAAAAACTATAGTTGACCAATTATTTTAAACTTAGTTATTATTAAGATGTGTATGATAATGTAATAATAGTTGATGTGTTCATTTGAATAGATATTTAAGGAAATCAGTAATAATAACCAATTTTTATTACTTATTTTATTTTATCAAGTACAAATTGGTACTTAAACCTTCCTTGTAGTATTTACTGTAAATTTTATTTTATTGTTTACCGAACATCTTAAAATACTTTGAAACAAACAATATCTTTGTTGTCCTGTGAATTAATATCCATATTTGAAGTGTATTAAATGTATTAAAATCTTAAAATCACCCAATAATTATGCATTGTTAATCACCATTTGTTTTATGGCTAATAATCTAAAACAGCAATGTTTTTCAATATTTATTTTACAAACTAATATAAAAATGTTACCAGAGCCCAGAGAACCTCAAATTGCGTGGATAAGATTACTTGATGGAAATATAATATGATTATCAACAACATCTAATGTTATTTTTTTTTAACTATTATTAAAAAAAAGTTATAAAAACTGAATCATCAGCTTAACACAATACACGTCATAATTAGAGTTTACCACAAGCTTTCATATAAAGATTAGAATAAGGACTGGCAATGAGGCTTATCACTAGACTGCTTGAGGGTCGTAAGAGACGTGTAACTAGGGTAGTGGTGTTAAACTGTAATAAATATTTATAACTGTTACTGTGAAAAAAAAACCTTTGAAAGTAGCAATTATTGCTACTTTTATAACAGTATCTTTTTGGCGGTATGTAGTGACAGTTGTAAGTTGCGACAGTTGTTGGTTTGGTTACTGCTACTTTTTAATAATTACCTTTTCCAGCTCTCAGATATTTTTGATACCAGGCAACTCGTGACCATGGTATAGTACTACAGTAGCAGTGTGTTTTAATCACTGTTCTCTTGCGTACTAATGGCAGGCACTGTTATTGCTACTTCAAGAATCGCTGTGGAAAATAGCAGTGACTGATAATTTTAAACACCACTAAACTGGGGGGGGGGGGAGTTGTATGCCATAGGTCCAAATGATCTATCTCCATCATATGGTATTTGCAATGGATTCTTCTTAGAGTATGAACTTATATCATATAGCTTCATTACATTTTAACTGATTTTGTTTTCATAACAATGAAAAATTATTTTTGAATATGAGGCATATTTAAAATAAAAGTTGGTTGAGAGATATAGCACATTGTTATAGAAGGGTGAGGGGGCGGCTAGGAGGGTTATGAATCAACAGAAAATTTTGGGATACATTTTTATTTCCTTGTTTGTGAAGGTATCCTGAGAACACCACTGGATAAAAGTAAACAATTATGTTAATCGCGAGAACTATTCAATTTTTGTTGTATGTATAAAATGTGTAATTTACCTTCATTTAAACTTCTAGAGATTCTATATCAAAAATATAATAATGTTAAATAAATATTATATTACTATCTTACTGGCTGAGAATTACTTAAGGCAAATTTTCAAGACTAACTCACACTTTGTGATAAGTTTAATTAATTTAATGACACTTACAGGTCTAGAAGTTTTTGGAATTTGAATTGGTGTAGTCTGAGGTTGCTGTGACACTTGTTGCACATAGCTTGTGTATTAGTGGCCACTTCAATTGATTGTCCCTGGGAATTTATAGCTTTACTCATATTAGCTGCAGGATGATTCTGTATTTGTATATTAAATTGCTCAACTGTATCGTTTATTGGTATATACAGATTGTAACAAAGAGACTTGACAAATGAAATAACTTTTATACTCATCAATATTTTTTAATATTTATCTTATAATGTATAATTTATTGACAGTTGTTCTATACGTATAATACATAATTTTTTTGTTTTTTTTTTTTAATACTGAAAATAAAAAAAATTTCAAATCTAACTAAAATTATTTTTGAAAAATTCAAAATAGCCAATTTGTTAATCTGGTTAACATGAAATTTTCACTGGTTGTTTATATTTGCATTTTATATACAAAATTACATTTTCAAAATATTTTGATTTATTTTGAACTGTTTAGGGACATTTTCATTTTCCATTTTTTTTTAGTTTTTTTTCTAAAAATATCAATAAAATTTTATTTGTATGTTGCGAAAGCTTGAAAATATAATAGAAGGCTCCTAGTACATTGTTTCAAAGGCAGATGAAAAATATTAAAAATCCTTAGTCACAATTTTTTTTTATAAGCATTTAAAGTTCAAAAATTGACAAAATATGAAAAAAATCACTAAAATTAGCAAATTATTTTGAGTTAAGAATTCGTAAAAATTTTCCTTTTTAAATCTAAGATTTGAAAATGTAATACAAGATTCTTTATAAGATTATCTACCTTTATCAAAAAAAAAAATGTCCATAAGAAAGTCAAATTAAATTTTTATGAGCGTTTGAAATTCAAATTTTTACAACATTGGATATCCACTCGATTTATCATGTAGCGTTTCCTAATTTTGTTGTAATTCAAAAACGAATAAATAGATACATAAAACTGTAAATACCTAAAAATTTCACTGAATGTTTAAATTAGCATTTCCTATACGGCTATACACCATACAATTTTGAAAATATTTTGACTCTTTTTGAGCTACCTATTTACGGACATTTACCACTTTCAATTTTTTTTAGTTTTTTTTTCTATAAATATCAATAAAGTTTTATCTGTTGGGCCAAAGAGTGTAAAAATTTAATACAAGGCTCCTGATATATTGTTACAATATCAGTTGAAAAATATTAAAAATACATAGGCACAGTTTTTTTTTATAAGCATTTAAAGATCAAATTTAAAATTGAATAATTATTTTGTACTTAAAAATGTATGAAATGTTTAACTTTTATATCTAAGGATCGAAAATTGAAAACAAAATTACACGTATGTAGTTAATTCTGTTACCAAAAAATCTAAAAAAATACATAATCACAGTTTATTTTTATAGTAATTTTAAGTTCAAATTTGGACGAAATTACATATTAAAAAACCTAGAATAACTATTTTAGTTATTTTGTTGTGATTGAATAATGTTATTCGTGAGTACTTGAAACTTCTAAAGTGTACTATTATATATCTATGATAGTATCACGGTTTTTGTTGATGTATAACGCGTTATAAGTACCTACCTAATGGCAGGGGCGGAACTAGGGGGGTGAAGCCGGGGATTGATCCCCGGGCGTAAAATTTTAGTGGGCGTAATTTTTCTTTAGTTCTTTATTTAATGCTTGGTGATAGAAGTTAAGAAAACATTTTTATTTCACATTATTTGTTTATGATGTTGTAATGATGATGTTGGAATTAATGAAAAAAAAAAAATAAAGTTAATGGTAAGATTATGAATAGATTCGTATTAGTATATTAAGTATAATATACTGGTATACTGGCATTAGCATACCTGCTGCAAGCATATACAACTAATATACTATAATTATTAAGATTCTGAGTGAAAATGTAACTAGTAACTATACCAAGGCATTTATTGATGCTGTGTTTTCGTTAAAATTTCTGATACCTACACAATAACTGTTATAAGATTATCAATCAACGTACGATACGTATAATATTATATCTGTATATTAAAAATGATGTTAATATATTATAATAGTAATATATTTACCAAGATAGTTATACATTTGTTTATGTTTAAAAAAAAAAGATTTGATTTTAAATATTTACTTTTTCATTTTTTCTATTATAAATTGTTTAATTAAATACAATTTTTACTGGCCTAAGTGTGTACCCTAATCAGAATAAAAGATTTTATATTTTACCATAAAAATCTATTATGATTGAAGGCTGAGGCGCATAGAACCAAAGCAGCAAAAGTGTTTACAATTTTTATACAGGATAGGTAGGTAATTAAAGTTTTGATTATTTTTCAACATTTATATATAACTAATATTATTATTATTTCTAATAATAAATACAATTAAGTAACCAATACAGTATTTCCAGTAATTAAAAATGTATCAACAATATGTTGACTAAGTTTTTAAATTTAAAGTGTTTTTGGTGTGATAGTTTATTAGTATAAACTTGGTTACACCACAGTCCACAGAATATATTAATTACTATATATTATTATGTGTTTAAAAGTTAATAAGTATGTTTGTAATTTTAGTTACAGTTATGATAAAACAATTGTAGGGAATGATATTGTATTTTCAATCTTGGTCTATGATTGGGCTTAATTTTAATATTTTCCCCGGGCGTAAAAATTCTTAGTTCCGCCTTTGCCTAATGGATATTGTGATACATAAGTGCAATTTAACATAATCGCTTAGCCCCCCAATTACTTCTTTAGCCCCCTCCCCCTCCCCCCGTATGGTGAGCGGTGACACGAAATTAGTTGCAAATAAAATCATTGTTGATTGACAAAATAAATATTAATAATTGTTTAAAATATACTAATATAGTGTCACAGATTAATGTATGACATTATTTTTTAAAATTGATAAGAATTTTCATTAAAATCCACAGATATATGTATGTTTATATATGTTTATATATCTGTGTTAAAATCTAAACGACGGCTGCCGCGCTGATATTGTTGTTATCGTGAACATACGATATACAGGACTGGTAACGATAGGGTACTATAGATAGTATGGTATGTAGAGCCTTAGTAAGCCTAGAAACGAGAAACGACTCAAGATATTGCGGTCGGGTACTCTTGCTGAAGTGTACCTTGGTGTTTATGGCGCACTCTGTCGGTTTACTAAATCATCTGAATTTTAATACACAACAAGCTGTGACAACTAAAAAATAGTATAGATCAAATTATTCAAATCTAATAGATTCATATAGATTAATCTATATTATTAATTATTAGGTACCTATATCGTATCGAATCATATTGAATTTAAATAATTTAATTTTGTCTATAATTTACGGTCTTGCATTACATACAGGTGTATAGGGCATTACATATAGGTGATATTATCTATAAACCTTCGATTTTAGTCGCCTCTGGCGGCGGTCTGCGCATGGGCAATTTACACTTTT